TTACTGACTTCCGTTTAATCCCAATCTACTCAAGGCCCTCGCTAGTTACATATTTAAATTCACACGCCATCGTTATTTATCGATAGTTTTATACTTAGTCCAACTACTAACTCACCTTATGCTAACAGCAGCTGCTCCACCGCCCAAGCTACTCCGGCCCTTGCTGTGGGCCGGCATCGGCAACGCGGACGTGGGCGTCACACTGAGCGACCCCTTCGCTGTCAGAGCACTGGGTATCGCAGCCAGTGGATTGTTGGGCGACACACTGGTGGGCGTCACCACCAGATTCTCCTTCATGACCTGCTGCGACTGCTTCAGCTTCTTCAACAGCATCAGCTTGGTCTCCTCATTGCGCAGATCCTGCCTCAGTTTACGCAAACTTTTCTCCCGCTCCTTCAGCTCCGCATGCGTCAGCTCCTTGATGGGCACATACGGCGGCATCTCCTCATCGTCCGTCTCCGAATCAATGTTGCCATTCTGCTGCCGGCCATTCGTGCGCGCTGGCAGCAGCACAATGTCTGGTGCCTCGGCGTATGATTTGGGTTCGGTGCGTGGCCGCAGGACGCGGCGTTGAACTTTGTTTTCATCCTGGGCGGCGCTGCTGCTGCTCCCACTGCCCGCTGTGGCGACGTCGCTGCTGCTGTTGTTGTTGTTGTTGCTGCTGCTGTTGTTGCTACTGTTGTTGTTGCTATTATTGTTGTTGTTGCTGCTGTTGGTATCGTTGCCATTGCCTGTGGCAGCTGTTGCTGTGGGTCCCGGAGCTGGTGTTATGGTCAATCCGGTATTATTCGCCGTCAACGCTCGCAGGTCGCGATTGCTGATCGTTGTCGGCGTCGACGTTGGCGTCGTGGCCGGCGTTATTGTCAGCGCCGGATCACGGCCAGAACTCAGGCTCAAGTCGACGACATCGTCGACCTCCATTTTGGCCATTTTCGCGCGTCGCGTCGTCGTGGTGACTTATCTTGACCTAACTGTAAAGATAAGAGATAAATGATTTAAATTTCGATTTAATTTATGTTTTTAATGTCGACGGATTTTTAATATTTGTTTATTTTTGTTTCTCTAGCTTAAATCATATGTTCTGTTCACCCTAGGGAGTTTTCACTGCACTTTAGCTCGCCCATTGCTAAGGGTTGAAACCCACCTTTAATTTAGATATGTATTTCTCCTTTTTTTTTTTGTCACTTTGCAAGCGGAAATCAGAAAAAAGAAGAATTTAACCCTTAACTGTTTGTTTGCTGTATCTCCGCTCGACATTTTCTTCTTCTTCTTTTTAACGTAAGGAAATAATGAAGATATCCTGATTTTATATCATTTTGGCGACGACCTTGTTAAATCAAGTTACTGCCCCGAGTCTTTGGCTTGTGGCGAAACAAATGGAAAGCTACACTAAATCACAGGCCAGTCAGATTTGAACGAAGATACACCAACAAACACGTACACACACACACACACATACATCCAACTCATCTAAATGTGTGTTTACAGCATTCGCTTCGATTTGGGACTGGCGTTTGCTTCTAAAAGCAAGTCACGTTTTTCGTTTTACCAAATTTTCGCATACAAAGCGCAGCGAAAATTTACATGATAACAAAAGAGAAGGGTGGAGAGGCAGGGGAGAGGAGTAAGTTGGGCTTACAAGTAAAGTGAAAGAGCGAGAGGGCACATGCAAATTGCTAAATGTTTAGTGGCAACGCTGTAGACTAGCAAACCCACACACACACACACACACCAATGCACATACATACATATGTACATGCACAAGCCAAAGACACGTTAGAGCGTGGGGTGAATAAACTTTACCACAACAAATGCACCTGCCGCCTGTCAAAGCCAATAAACAGCAAACGCATACAAGCAAAAACGATACAAACAATAAACAGTCCAATTAAAATGGAATAACTGCAGCACACACACACAAATATACATAAGAGCAATGACGACCGTGCTTCGCATCGGGTGGCAACGCTTATTGAGCTGAGCTAAGCTTAGAGACGACCTCAACAAAATGTGGCGCAAGAAAGAAAAGCGAATCAAACATAATATAATAAGCATGATGAGAATGCGAGCAAAACACTACAAGTGTGTATGAATATATGTGTGCGTACACACTCCTGTGTGCGTGTGTCTGTTTTTGTTTGACCAACAATGTCCCCAACGTGCTATAAATTAACTCGCTTTGAAAGTTAGCAGCCGCACAGCAATACAGACATATACACATGCATATACACAACACACACAGGCACACACACATCCAAATAGCGCATGCATGTGTAGAGCTTGCTCGCTCACTCGTTCGTTTGTTTCCCCCCGCTTAAGCAGCTGTCGGCTCTGTCTCGTTACTTTCCACACTTGTGTCGTCATCAGATTGCCGTTTGAGAGCGAACAGCCGCGACGGCACAGTGGAACAATGTAGTGCGGTCAGTGCGCCAAACATGCAACAGGCATTTTGACACAATTTAATTGTCTTTAATTATATAATCAAATATAATTCTTTAATATATTCTATAAATAATATATTTTAAATTTCACACAATCAAAATTTATACAAATTACCATTTAACTTCAACTTCGTGAAGAGCATTATTACACTGTGGCGCGGCTGGTGAGCGTGAGAATAACATCATTTACATATACATACATACATATACTTATATGTACGTATATCTATATATACAAGTTTGTGAATTTGTGTTCCATGACTGTTCGCATTTTTTGTCATGTTCAAAAAAAAAAATAAATAAAAATAAAATAAGCAAAATCCAAACATTTTAATTATTTTATATATATGTACATACTTTAATATTGTGTGTATTAATATGATACCGGCACTTTTTATATGCCTGACATTGAATGCATAGAAAACGTCGTATATCGATTTGTTGGCTTTGGCTTTTGTTGGCATTCAGTGTTTATAATTGTGTTTAATAGCGCGCTAAATGTGTTTCAATTAGCGCTTAAAGTTAAGCTCTGCGCGTCTGTGTGTATGAGTGTATATGTGTCAATAGGGTACATGTGTATGTGAGCGTGTGCATTAAAAGTTTTGCTAACTTCTTCAGCATATGATACATTTATTACAGTTTATAAATGTTTATTTAACCTTTTAAATTGTTTAATGGTGATTCAATTACTGTTTTTTGCTATTGGTGCTATTATTAATGCTCTCGCTATGAACGTGCAACGAACGTGCTTGCTCTACTGAGCTTTCACTATACATCGCAGACAAGTTCAAGTTTAAATCTAACGGTCGTTGGCACCTGCCCAACGCAAGCGGTTATTAGAAGAAGCAGCGTAGATAACTGACCGCCGATAAGTGCCAGCATTCCAGGGGAACAGCAGAACAGCCTTGAATTCCAGTCGTGGGAAGTTGACTGGAGTGGAGTAGAGTGGGGCGCGTCAAGTACTGTAAGAGTCATCTCTTACGATAACAACAACAGCTAGGCCACAACTAACGAGCAATAACAACAGCGACACACACACACAAAGCAAAAAAAAAAGCAAAGAAATAAGGTTAAATCAAAAGTACAGTTGTGTACATAGCGCAGCGAGCAGCAACAGCAGCAGCACCAACAACAACACAACAAAAGCGAAGAGCAACCAACAAGCAAAATGTGTTTGAGTGCGGCTGCGGTGAGCAGCAGCAGCAGCAGCAGCACCAGCAGCAGCCGACGTAGAGAGAGAGCAAGACAGAAGAGAGAGCGCGTCGCACACACACGCGAACCCAAAGCCAAAGCCAAACGGCAAAATGAGAGTGGCGGGCAGACGGCGGCAGTTGGCGACCGAATTGGGAGTAGAGTCGAGTACTTGGGGCAGAGGGCCTTAGGGGGTGGGGTGCACTGAAAACTGTCTGGCCACCCCATGCACACCACTCACTCACCCACACATATTTATCTATATATATACACCCACGGTACACCTTAACTACGCCCAGACCTATCGATTTGCATACAAGTCAAGTGACCCCTTCCCTTCGTTTCGCTTCCCTTCCCAACCATCCATGGTTTGCTAATCCACGAAAGGCCCTTCCAAAACAGACCAAACATACTCCAATTGCAATCGCTTTTATTTTTGCGATATGCGCAAAATAATTCAATTCATTTCAATAAAAGGAATTAAATAAAAAATTATCAAAACAAGTCGCAGCAGCTTTGCACACAAACGGACGAATAAATAAACAAATATACATAAGTAGGCACTGCATACATACAAATATCTATAAACATACATATATACAAGTAAATACATACATACATAGTCGTATAAGAAATGCGCATATCTTATGGCCTGCCATTGTATATACATACATACATACATATATACATAAGCAACGGCAAACGGAAGAGGGAGAGAGAGGAGCAAAGCGGTGGGCTGCTGTTGCTGTCGCGATGAGAGCGCGTGCGAGCGAGCGAGAGCGGCCGACTTGTTGTACATGGCACTGTACATATGTATTAACTCACCATCATCGTCCCCATGATGGGACTGTGTGTTAGTGGTGCTGGTGGGGTGGGGTGGGGTGGTGTGCAAGCAGGCAGGCGGGCAGCCTGCAAAATGCACTGGCGCATAAATCTAAGCTGCGCCTTGTGAAATGTTCAAATTTATTAGTGACGTCAAGTCAACGCTCTCGACTATTAACAGCTGCTTAACAGCACACATTTCAACGCAGTGGCAACTCCACTCGACTAATTTACAATCAAGAATTAAGTCATAATTAACAAAGAGATCTACCTGAGCTCATTTACATATGTACACACTCATGTACTTGTATATTAATTCTAAGATACGACATCAAAGTGTCAAGTCATTCTAATCTATTGATACAGTAAACCTTACATGCTT